GGCCTCACCTGCCGCTCCCCGGAAGTCTCCGCGCCGCCCACCCCGCGCCCCACTAAACCCAGTCCAGAGCGTCACGGGCCCGGAACCCACCCAGGAACCCACACCTGAAATGTACCAATAAACTTAATGAATTTAAATTAAAAACAAAAAACAACGCGCGCAGTTAAAAAGCAGAAGCACTTACTTTTGGACCCGGGAGGGTTCCTCCGCATGTGCTTGTTGTTGCAGATGTCCTGGATGTTCTGGACCACGGCTGAGCTCAGCCCGTGATCTCTCATGATGGCCAGCACCTTTCTGTCCATCAGGTTGTGGGATCTGAGGCAGTTGGGGTAACTACAGTTCCCCCGAGTGAAGTGTTCGCAGATGTGGAGTCTTTCACATGGCGGCTGCTGGTTACAGATCTGTTTTCGACCCTCTCCTTTGTAACTTTTGCATATCTACAGAAGAGAAAAACAGTAAGCGGAGAAGGAAACATCTCCCTGTTGCTGCCACACACTCATTAAAGAAGGTTTAAGTACACAAAAGTTTCTATAGCAAACAAATATACAAAGGGAAAAAAGTGTATTCCAGAATCTTTGATAAAATGCACTCAATTGATGATTTATTTGAGAGAGGTCTACACACTAAATAAAAGACAGTGGTGAACTGGGGAGAATTGCCAGCCACAAACAGGACGCAAGATGAGCTCTACATTATAAAGGCATACAAAAAGGATCGTCTAGTTTTGATATCAACTTAGTTTGCAATTAAAAGGTGTGTCTTATGGGCAACTGTTTGGGGATTCAAAATTTGATCTCCGCTAAGCAGAATGTGGAGTTTCTCAAATGATCTATTTTATTTAAATAGATGTATCCATATATCTAGCTCCACAGAGATACAGTCCCTTCTGAAAGGTGGAATACTGCCACTGTGGACCAACTACAGGATGCAGAACTAAAAGATGCTTTTTCTAAAGTCGGAGGGCCTAGAAGCATTGGGGATCAAGGGATCTACTCTGTTTCTGTTTCCTCTGTTCTCACAGGAGGAAAGCATTTGGCTGGTTCACCTGAACACATGGTGAAGCAGACTAACACAATCTGCAATGGTGCCGTGAGAGAAATAAGGTGCGGCATACATCTTCAAACCATAAATGAGGACACCAATATGACAGTAAAAAAACTGAGCTTCAGGCATTTTAAAGATAAAAACATTTGGAAGTTATCTTCAAAGGCACTCTATAGACCAGATCAGCATGGTTCCCATGATGTGTCTATGTGGTAAAGACATAAATCCAGGGCCAGGGATTTAGCTCAGTGGTGTCACACCTGCCTGGAAAGTGCAAAGTCTTGAGTTCAATCTCGGTGGGGGGGTGCAAATCCAAATTCCAGAAACAACGACTTAGCTACATAAGATAGCTTCTAAGCCAGATTCAAGTAGATAAAATCGCTGTGCAGTCTACCACCAGATTCTAGACTTTAGACCACTGGTTCTCGAAGTGTGGTCCCAAAATCAAGTACTGTCAGCACCAGTGGGTCACTTTTTAGACTCCAAAAGCAACAGCAGTGGAGCCCTGAATCTGTGCTTTAACAATCCTCCAATGTACTTTTTGTTTGTTTGTTTGTTGTTTTTGTTTTTTGGAGACAGGGTCTCACTATGTAGTTGAGTCTGACTATGTAGCCCAGGCTGGTCTCAAACTCACAGCGATCCTCCTGCCTCAGCCTCCCGAGTGCTGGGATTACAGGCGTGCGCCACTATGCCCAGCCCTCCAACGTTTTTTTGTTTTGTTTTGTTTTGTTTTGTTTTGGGTACCAGGGATTGAACTCGGGTCTTTGTGCTTGCAAGGCAGGCCACCAAACCGCTGAGCTAAATCCCCAGTCCCCTCCAACGTATTTTGATGTGTGCTCAAATTTGAGGACCGGTGTCCTGGAAAATAATCCACAACTTCACAAATGATCCTTTGGTTAATACTAATGCTAGGGCCAGGGATTTAGTTCAGTGGTTCTGCTGCCTGCCTCGCAAGTGCAAGGACCCACGCTCAATCCCTGGCACCAAAAAAGAAAAAAAAAAAAAAACTAATGCTACTGTCAAAGCAAGATAGTGCCTGCCTCGATTCAGCTAAAAAATGAAGCAATTTCTTCCTTTAATGAGCACATTCTATTTTTACAACTTGACATACAAGTTTGCCTAATGTTTTCATGTTCTTACAGGTCGGTGATGGCAAACCTCTTAAAGCTTTCAATGGTACAAACATCCCACCGCAGCACACGTGCCATAGATTCGCCATAAATCACAGGTCAAGTCTGAGTGAAAAGGTGTGACTTTTTCAAGTTTCGGGTTTTTTTAACGGTAGGAAGTATGTCTTGTCCACTGCTGCCTTTAGCACTTAACCCAGCATCTCAGGCTGGCAGTCATTTCTAAATCTTAATTGAAAGAATGCAAAACAACAAATACAGTGATGCAGGAAGGGCTCAATGCCTCATCCAAGGTGGTTAAAGGGAGAGCTGGGAGGACTGAGAACATTCCCCTGTAGCCCTCTCAAGCCTCTGTCTACCCTCCCCCTATTCAGAGCTGTTTCTCTACACTCCTTGCATGTAACTTAGCTCCTCTCTCCTCTATCACCTCTGCTAATTAAAATCCAAGTCACCCAAACAACAATGCTAATCTGCAAAAATAATTCTTCCCTTCTTGGAGAACCAACCTGAACCAAGTCTTCCTCAACTACCTGAAATCTGGTTGATCGCTCAAGCCCCGCTAAGGTGTCAGGAAGACATTCTGTCCACCCCGCAAGGTAAATACTCCTCTAAAGACCCCTTGCTCAGCATTTCCAGACAGAAACTGATGCTGATGATACCAACTAATGCTAACTACATTACTCAGCTCCTCACACCCCTAGCTCAGGAAACAGCAAGTCTCCCAGCTGGGGATCTTCACCCTGACCAGTGCTAAGTGGAAATTCTGTTATAAACTACAAAGAAGCTTCCAGGGAGAAGCAGCCAACTCAACCTGTTAAACATGGGTGGAACCCTGGGTGACATTGCTTCCTCTCTGTTTGATAAACATTAGATGAGAAGGTTCCTAAGGGACCTTCTCAGTGCTTCCATCAACGGGCTCTGTGGAACCCCCAAGGAAATACCATTTTCTCTTAATTCCTGTTCCCAAGCTCCTCTGCAGAGAAGGGAACAGCTGCTGCTCCCAGATACTCTGATAACTGGGTAAGTGTACGTCCCCACATGAGGAGTCCTTGGTGCTTCTGAAGCAATCAGACCCAATGAGTGACTTTTTAAAGGCTCCAGTTGATGCCACATGAAAGGCGAGCCACAAGTCATCACGAGTGTCATAGCGAGTCTTTCCCTCTCACAAAAGGAAAAGGAAAAGATGCTGCTGTCTGTAAATGAGACCTTCCTTTCATATGGTTGGTGTGTAAGGCATTTTCCACATGTTGGAAGATAGGGGGACTACACTGGCACCACATACCCCCGAACAAGACTTCTAAACCTTGGTTTCCTGGAGAGAGAACTACAGGAATATATAGACTTGAGAAGAAATAAAGTAAGTCCCTCCCAGAATTCCTACAGAGTACCTTGTATTCACATCTCTCCTAAAGTGGCCAACTCAAAATCACCTCATGTCACAGGTCTTTTAAGTGGTTAGAGAAACACACTGAGTTCAGAATAAAAAAGTGTCTAACCCACAAGAAGTCACAAGCAGCTATCTTGTCATGTATAAAAGGGCATCTGATAGCTGGGGATGTAGTTCAGTTTCACCACGGCTGCCTCACCAGTGCAAGGTCCTGAATTTGATCCCCAGTACAAATAAATAAATAAGCATCTAAATTTCAGCCTGACAGCCAGGTCAGCACTCAAGAGGCTGATGCAGGAGGATCACTGCAAATTTGAGGCCAGGTAGGGCTACATAGTGAGTTTAAGACCAGCCTGAAAAACACAGTGAGACCCTGTCTCAAAAATATATGTGTGTGGGCCGGGTGTGGTGGCTCACACCTGTAATCCCAGCAATTGGGAGGCTGAGGCAGGAGGATCGCTATGAGTTCGAGACGAGCCTGGACTACACACTGAGTTCCAGGTCAGTCTCAACTACATAGTGAGACCCTGTCTCAAAAAACAAAACAAAACAAAACAAAAAAAAAAACCAAAACAAAAAATGTGTGTGTGTGCACGCGCGCGCGCACGTGTGTGGAATTTCAATTCTAGATTTACTCACATTATCCCCATCTGTTATGCCTCATATCTAGATGTCCCCCCAAAGCCTCATGCGTTCATAGGTGAGGCTTTTTCAGAGGTGTCTGGATCTAGAGTACATGATGCTGGAACTGATTCATGGTACAATGCTAGGCTCAAGGGCACTAGGACTAAGAGTGTGAGTGTTACCTGCCCTAGTAGTCTGGATAAGATAAAAGGGTAAGAAAAACAATGTTGAAGTTCCTTGCTTGCTTGCTGTTGCTGTCTTCTGCTTCCCTTGAACTGTGTGTCTCCTCTGCAATGCCCCTCTGCCAAGCCACCATAGCCTCGGAGCCAATTATGGACTGAAGTGCAACAAACTGTGGACTAAATAAACCTTTTCCCCTTTATCTTTGGATGTCAGATATTTTGTCTCAGCAACGAGAGAAAAGTAACTAAGACACCATCCCTCCCCGCCACTTCATCTGGGATAATCCCTCTGTCTTTCTTTCAGTATGAGGCTAACATCTTCACATTCAAGAGTTTTTCTCAGACTGGATTTATACTTTTTTGTTTATTTGTTTTGGTTTTGTAAGACAGGGTCTCACTATGTAATTGAGACTGACCTGGAACTCACTATGTAGGCCAGGCTGATCTCGAACTCACAGCGATCCTCCTGCCTCAGCCTCCCGAGTGCTGGGCTTACAGGAGTGCACCACCACGCCCAGCTTTAGATTTATACTTTAAACCGCATCCTCTGATTGTAAGTCTCTATGCCTATCTAGATGAGACTTATTCACCATTGTTCCGATTTTGTTTTGGGTTTTTTTTGGGGGGGTACTGGGGATTGAACTCAGGACCTCTTACATATAAGGCAGGCCTGGTGACACTGAGCTAAATCCCTGGCTCCTGATTTTTCTTCTAGTAACAGAAGTTTCCAGGTTTTAGAAAGACATATAGTCACCCAACCAGAAACTCCATTTCCCAGCCTTCCCAAGCATGACCACGTGAAAAGCTACAGCCAATGAAACATGAGCAGATGTGCTATAAACAATATAAGCGCAACTTTTTTTAAAAAAGGAAATGGTAGGAAAGGGGATTTAGCTCAGTGGTTCTGCTGCCTGCTTCACAAGTGCAAGGACCTGAGTTCAATGCCCTGTACCAAAAAAAAAAAAAAAAAAGGGAAATAGTTTGTCTTCTCCTTACTTCCTCTTTATACTCGAATCAGTTTGGCTAGAAAATGTTGACAAATGAGATCACCTTGGTATCTGAAGATGAAAGCCACATTTCTTTTTTTTTCTTTCTTTCTTTTTTTTTTTTGCACAATCAGAGATCAAACTCAGGATCTTGCATTTGCCAGGCAGGCTTGGTGCCACTGTGCCATGGAAGCCACATTTTGAAAATAACAGATCTGACCTATTGACCCAAGTGCCTGGATGATTCAGCTGCCTGCTCACCCACACCAAGATAAGACCACGAGTTGACACATTATTCTGTGAAGGAATGCAGAGTACATATTCTAGGCTTTTCAGGTCATTCTGTCTCTGTTGCAACTACCCAACTTGTCCTAGTGTAAAAGGAGTCATAGACAGTACATAAACAAATAGGCGTGGCTGCGTTCCACGAACCTTCATCTATAAAAACAGGTGGCAGGCCTGTGAGCTAGACTACTGACTCCTCATCTAGCCTATCCAGTGGTATAGGAAAATAAAAGTATAATTTATTTCGCTACACTGTAGGGGTGAGGTGCGAGAGTCTGTTAAAACAGCTGAGCCCAGGGCCGGGGATTTAGCTCAGTGGTTCCACCACCTGCCTCGCAAGTGCAAGGTCCTGAGCGAGATCCCTGGTACCAAAAAAAAAAAAAAAAAAAAAAAAAAAAAAAAAAAGAAAAAAAAGAAAACAGCTGAGCCCATACCCTGGTCTTCCCTACCACCTGTCAAGCTTCAAAGGCCATCCCTTCCAAGAGGCCACCCTGATGTAAACCATCAATTAGTCTTACAACTTTCATGTCTTGAGGTCACTCTTGCCCACCCAGGGGCTTCCTAGCAGCCTAGCAGTAGAGGCATCCAGATTTAAATTCTTATCTATCCTCAAGTAGGAGGGAAACTGCTGGAATCTTTTATAGCACGCAGCAACAGCCCTGACCACCAACTGCAGAACACTGCTGTTGGCTTGAGGTTGTTTTCTCTGCTCCTACACAAACACACCAATGATACAACACCACCCATGATGGTGACTGTGCTGTGTAAATGGAGGAATCATAACACTTACCTCAGGCATAAAAAATGGGTCACTTTGGAGGAGCAGTACAGCTAGTTGCTCTTGGTTTAGTCCAGAGAGTTCATGATTTTTCAGGACTTGGAAATTTTTTTCTGAGAGAACCTCATGAGAATATTTGCATAAATTCCTAGAAGAAAATATGACCATTGTCATGTTTCCACTTCACAGAGGAAAATGAAATCATCCATAAAATGTTCACTTAGCAAAGATCAATGCCTGTATCCCTTGGTAGCTCATACATGCTGGGCTTACTCAAAGGATACAATTTTGTTTTGTTTTATTTTAAGACGGGGTCTCACTACATAGTTCAAGCTGGCCTTGATTTCACTATGTAACCGAGGCTGGCCTCAAATTCACGGTGGTTCTTTTGCCTCAGACTCCTGAGTGCTGGGATTTCAGGTGTGCACCACCACATCTAGCCCACAGAATAAAATTTTAAAAGACACATTTTTAGGCCAGGGATTTAGCTCAATGGTTCTGCCATCTGCCTTGCAAGCACAAGGTCCCAAGTGCAAATCCTGGTACCAAAATAAATAAAGAAATAGATAGATGCATTTCTGACTGACATGGTAAATGAGCACTCTCCTGGGCCAGGCCTAAGATATGCCAAAATAAATAAATAAATGACAAAAAAAAAAAAAAGATAAAGCACAGAAAAGGGAAAAAGAGATGCATTTAAAAAGTACATAGATCAAGAGGATGTATTTTCTTCACAAATTATACACATATATACACACACAATTGACCTTAATTATTGTAATATTTCCTTTGGTACCAGGGATTGAACGCAGGTCCTTTTGCTTTCCAGGCAGGCAGTGGAATCACTGAGCTAAATCCCCGGCCCTATTATAATACTTCTTTGAACACTGTTTCCCGAAGTCTGAGAAATGATTGCCTATTGAGAAATTAAAGGCAATAAGACAATTCCCTTTACCTAACATTTTAATTACACAAAATTATTCAACACCATATTTTCTCTGAGTTTTATATCAGTGTATACCTGTACCCTTGTGACTATAAAGGAATGGAAGCAAGCTCTTAACTGCAAATCCAAGCTACAGAAATAAATGGAAAGCCTCCTCCATTTTAGGACATTAAAGACTTAGGTCAATACTGTCCAACAGAACTTTCTATGATTATGGAATTCTTTTATGTTATTTGAACTTTGTGGGAGAGGGGGTAAAAAGCATTAAGATGTGTCACAGGCTGGGGATTTAGCTCAGTGGTTCCGTCGCCTGCCTCGCAAGCACAAGGTCCCAAATTTGATCCCCGGTACCAAAAAAGTCCATGTGTCAACTCTCCATGATGAATGTGATCATTATGTACTGCAAACATGGACTAATCGATTTTTTTTATAAATTTGAGTTTTCCACAATGGAAACCATATATAGTGACCAAATACTTGATTTATCACTTTGAAGTGTGAGCACTGATTTAGTTTGAGAAATCCTCATAGTTCTGTTATCAATATCAACATAGCACAAATCACTCTACTTTTTAATTGATATACCCTACATATGATATCACCAAAGTTCTTGGATTTAATAGTAAATAATAAGATGGCGTATTAATTTGTTGTAGTTGCACAGTCACTGACAAATTGGCAGACAGACGAATGGCTAGGTTTTTCACTACATAAACACTGTGGCTACAGTGATCTTTGTTTTGCTTTTTTTTTTTTGGTACCGGGGATTGAACTTGGGTCCTTGCGCTTGCAAGGCAGGCCAGCGAACTACTGAGCTAAATCCCCAGCCCCTACAGTGATCTTTGTACAGTAACCTTTCTCTTTTTACATTATTTTCTTGAGATTTATTCCCTTGGGAATATTGCTTCAGCGGACACAATAATTCTCTTGGCAACCTGTGTTTCATTCTGATCTACTGCACATACCGGCAATCTGGGAGTGTGTCTATTTCTCCACCAGCACATTAACATTAACTTTCGTCACTTTTGTTACTTTAGTAGCTATAAAATAAACATGCTTTTATTAGTTCATGCTTCTATTATTAGGAAGAAGGAAATATTCCCCAATGTTGGCCTTACCTTTTTTAAAAAATATATACTACTATTTGTTCATATCCTTTTAGTATTTATCTAACCAGGCATGGTGGTGAGCTGAGTTGGAAGGATCGCCATGAGTTTGAGGCCAGCCTGTGGCTACAAAATTAGTTAAAGGTGAGCTTGAACTATGTAGCAAGACTCATCTGAAAACATACAAATAAACACAAAGTACAAAGTAACAGTTCATCTAATGGAGAAAGGTACTGATCTACAGATTTTTAATTATGTTTTTTAAAATATTAATCTTTATCAGCCTTCTTTATTACAAATAATTTTATATTTTTTGATTTTTTAATCAAGAATTGATCAAGTTTGTTATTATTGAATATTTATATGTTCAGGGCCTTACAATTTAGGTACTGTTTAACATATGCAAAATTAATCCATCCTTGACAGCTAGATAACTATACCATTTTGTCTCACTTCAAGAGTTATTTTCAGGCCAGGGATTTAGCTCAGTGGTTCTGACGACTGCCTCGCAAGCACAGGGACCTGCGTTTGATCCCCATTACAAGAGTTATTTTCAAGGGCCAGGGATTTAGCTCAGTGGTGCTGCTGCCCGCCACACAAGGACCCAAGTTTGATCCCCAGTACAAAAAAAAAAAAAGTTATTTTCAAGACTAATTCTTTAAAACTTCGTACTATGACAAATGATGTCAGAAGGAAGACATAGGTGTTTGTTTTTGTTTTTGTTTTTTTGGTACTGGGAATCAAACTCAGGACCTTGCACTTACAAGGTAGGCTGCAGAACCACTGAGCTAAATCCCCAGCCCTAGAAGGGGACATAAATGTTTTATATCTTTCTTAATAACAACTATTAAATATGACTTTTTTCTTATTATTTTGTTTTTCTAGACTATTGTACACTAACCTTTTGCCAAGTTCACAACTACTGGAATCCCTACTATGTTCTTTTAGCAAACTCTTTTAAATCCAACACCATATGATTTAAATGTTCTTTATGTCATGTTTTAAACAGTAACAGAGTAATTTACGATATCTTGGCTTATACCTTTTCCAAAAACTCTTTAGTGTGCTTAACTATGATTTTATCCATAAAAATCTTATTAGAGGGCCAGAGATTTAACTCCATAGTTCCACCTCCTGCCTCACAAGCTCAAGGTCCTGAGTTTGATTCCCAGTACCAAAAAATATATATATATATTATTATAGATTGTTAATTTCCACAAAGTAGCATAATGGTAATCTTATTTCTGTGAACTCCACAAATTATATTGCACATTAAGTATGGATCATCCTAACCATGTTAAATCTTCTGCTTCTTCCCATTTATTCAAGCCTTGTTTTATCTTATTTTCAATTAAAATTAACCTTTTAGGGCCAGGGATTTAGCTATTTAGCTCAGCAGTTCCACCGCCTGCCTTGCAAGCACAAGGACCTGAGTTTAAAAAAAAAAAAAAAAAAAAAAAATTATATATATATATGTATATATATATGTATATAAAATTAACCTTTTAATAGTTGGCATTCACTTCCCAAATACAAAATATTATCTGTTGCCAGTATTATATTTCAGTTGTTTGGAATACAGAAGTGCAAAATGATTTTATTGAAACTAGTGATTTTGCAAAAATATAAACTTCTTGGCAAAAGTTATTCTCTAAGAATTAATCTTTAAAAGTCACCTATACAAATGTTGCTGCCTGTAAAATGTATCTGAAACCCTGTGGATGTGCCTTCAAAGTTAGCAGAAGTATCTCTTAAGAGAAGTCAAGGGCTGCTACTCCAGCTTCGGGACAACCTCTGTCCTAGCCATTCTCCCAGGCCAGCCCCCTCCCAGCTTTCTCCGCCAGGGACCTTGGCTTTGAAGTGTCTCTGGACTCCTTGATAAGACTGGTCTTAGCTCTGCTGCCTTTTGAGTTCTGCTCTGTGGTTTCAGATAACTGCTCCTACCAGTCCCCACCATCCGCAATCCTCAGCAGTGGGGGTAAGGCCAGCTATCACTCATCCCCCAGCCCCAGAGAGAGGGAACCTGAAGACTCTTGCAATGAGAAAGACCCTCTAGTTATCCTCTCCAGGGTTAACCCAAAGCAGAAATTCTTCCCACTACAGTTTGACCAGATATGTATGACCCATATTCCCCATGAGGGATCACTGCGTTGTTCTTGTTCATGTTGTTCTGAAAATGAAATGCTGCACATGCACAGCTACTACCCTCAGCTCTGAGATGTCTGACAGCTGTAATCGGAAGGAATAAGCAATCTTTGCTTTCTCTTTGCTCAGGTGCACACATCCTGGGCTTGGAGCAAAGCCAAAAGCACCTCTGCAGATCACAGGAAATGCAGGATAGTCGATGGTGAGGGGCGTGTCACTTCCAAGGTCCCTCGGGTCCGCCCTTCTGCTAAATCACGAATGGCAGCCCGGTGACTTAATAGATATATCGCCGCTGGGAACTCCAAGCACCAAGGCTTCTCCAAGCCCAACCAAAGTAGTCATGTCCAGAGGAGCTGTGCTGGCCTGGTCCTTGCTGCATATATGACAGCCTGGTTTAACTTCTCATTTCTCATCTCAGCCCTCAGGCAAACTACTTACTCCTCCACAACCTATGGTGCTCACGTTGCTCAAACTGTGAGGTCTGCCTCTATCTATACTTGGCCTGGCCCTGAAACCCCATTCTGCACACCTCCCCTCAACTGCTTCTTAGAATCATCCTCTCCATCCTAATTTCAGCACACTGATCAGTCGCAAAGACAGATTTTGAACTTCACAACTGTTCATTCAGCAGTCACAATATTCCTACTTGGGGAAACTGAGGCCCAATAAAATGAAAATTCAATGAAACTCAGATAAGAGGAAGAAGATCTGTTCACTGAATCCAGATCTCAAAAAATAAGAAAAAACCTAATCTGGAAAACTACTCCAAAACTCTCCCAAATCATAAAGATTAAAACAAAAGGCATTCTGGATTATCAAAGACACTGTTCCTCGTTATTGCATGGAAAACTGACAACAGAGTAGAAGCACTGCAAAGGGGCATAAATCATATAACGAATGCAGCAAAGAAACACGGTAACGATAGAAAGTATTTGTGATGAGCAACATAGA